TAGCACTTGCATATTATTGCTCTTTTGTTGGTTTTGATTGCTTCCATTGTCATAATTTGAGTGTTCTGAGTGGTCGCTAAGGTCCACATGAATGAGTACATCAGGATATTCAACACAAACGTGTAGCAGACAGTAAATAAAGTACATTTTGATGCTATGTGATGACGCGTGTGAGATGGAGAATCTGGGCTCATTTTATAATCCGCTTCATGCGATGACAAATGTCACACGCATTCATAAAGTCACAGTATTTTTGTGTATTTTATATTCGTTTTTTGGTTTGTTTGTTGAGTGTTGCTAAAAATATTTTCATAGATTTTTTATCTGAATAATCTGGATTGTATGTAAAATGAAGATCAATCTGCAGCTTGCAACCTTTTACTGTTCATGTGTCTCAGATTATAGTGCTCGCAACACTAAAGTCACGAGTTTGTTTCCCTAGAGAAAATCGTGCTGTTAAGATGTATAGCACCTTTGTAAGCCGCTTTTAGATCTACTAAATTAATATGTTTTAATTAAACACCATAGTGATGAAAGAGTGTTCCTGAGTGTGTTTGTGTGCTTTTGTTATTCTTTTAATATTCAATATTTCATTAATAATTCACATTTATTTACCTGTTCTTGTTCATGCTTCAGCGATACTGAACTGAAGAGCGTCTATAGTGGGCAGAACTATTGTCATTCTCTGGGTTTTTAAATATTCATCAGTGGAGCCCCCCGACTTCAACACTCACAGGCTTGTTATTATCCTCAGATTGTGAAATGTCAGTGCATGGGAGTAAATGCTGCTAATGAAGTGCTTTGGAGACAATTGTGGACGGCTGGACAACAGAGCTCTGTTGTGGGAATGTAAGTCACTGTGTGTGTTTGTGTTCTCATTGATGCTTGTTTTTTCCCCTTGTTTGGACGCATACAGCATGTATTTTATTTTGAAGAAAATGTGAGTAGTGCATGCAAAACTTGATATGGGTGGTTGCCAGGGTGTTGCTATGAGGTTGCTTGTTGCTAATGTGCTGTGGGTGGTTGCCAGGGTGTTGCTATGCAGTTGCTAATGTGTTGTGGGTGGTTGTCAGGGTGTTGCTATAAGGTTGCTTGTTGCTAATGTGCCGTGGATGGATGCCAGGACATTGCTATGCAGTTGCTAATGTGCTGTGGGTGGTTGCCAGGGTGTTGCTATGTGGTTGCTTGTTTCTAATGTGCCGTGGGTGGATGCCAGGGTGTTGCTATGCAGTTGCTAATGTGCTGTGGGTGGTTGCCAGGGTGTTGCTATGCAGTTGCTAATGTGTTGTGGGTGGTTGCCAGGGTGTTGCTATGCAGTTGCTAATGTGTTGTGGGTGGTTGCCAGGGTGTTGCTATGCAGTTGCTAATGTGTTGTGGGTGGTTGTCAGGGTGTTGCTATAAGGTTGCTTGTTGCTAATGTGCCGTGGATGGATGCCAGGACATTGCTATGCAGTTGCTAATGTGCTGTGGGTGGTTGCCAGGGTGTTGCTATGTGGTTGCTTTTTTTATGTGTTGTGGGTAGTTGCCAGGATGTTGCTGTGCAGTTGATAATGCGTTGTGTGTGGATGCCTAGGTGTTGCTATGCAGTTGCTAATGTGTTGTGTGTGGTTGCCAGGGTGTTGCTATGTGGTTGCTTGTTTTTAATGTGTTGTGGGTGATTGCCAGAGTGTTGCTATGCAGTTGTTTGTTGCTCATGTGCTGTAAGTGGATGCCAGGGTGTTGCTATGCAGTTGCTAATGTGTTGTTGGTGGCTGCACAGGGTGTTGCTATGTGGTTTCTTGTTTTCAATGTGTTGTGGGTGGTTGCCAGGGTGTTGCTATGCGGTTGGTAATACGTTGTGTGTGGATGCCTAGGTGTTGCTATGATGTTGCTAATGTGTTGTGTTTGGTTTTCAGGGTGTTGTTATGTGTTGCTAGTGCTTTGTGGGTGGTTGCCAGGGTGTTGCTATGCAGTTGATCTGTTGTGGATGTTCCTAGGTGTTCTGGGTGGTTGCTAAAGTCCTCATGAATGAGTACATCAGGATATTAAACAAAAAACATCTAGTAGAAATTAAATAAAGTTAATTTTGATGCCGTATGATGATGATGATGATGATGTGTATGATAAAGACTCTGGGCTGGTTTGGACTTCAGAATAATGAAAGTCTCTCATTTAGTCTGAACTCATGAGAGGGAATCGCTGCAGCTGTGAACGTGCTCACAGACCAACCACAAACTCCTTCTGCACAGACATTAGAGCAACAACAACTCATTATATCTCACAAAGACTGAGAGAAGAGGAGAGATGATGTGGCAGATGTTTAAATGAGTAGTTTGCCCAAAAACTTCTTAAAATTCATTAAATCGAATCAAAAAAGGCTCATACTTAACTGATCAGGCATTGCTTTTTCATAGCTCACATTAATGGAGATCTCAGTTATGTTTCGTTCACATTTTTTCATGTTTTTTCTGAAATTTCATTGGAGAAAAGAGTGAATAGTTGTCATACAGTATCAATATAGAGCTATAAAATGAATTCATAAATTGATAGGGTTAGACTTTGGTATCTTAGCAAACTTGAGCACGGTTTAATACATTGTTGAGATCTCATTTGAAAGTTTAAAGGAGACATGTGTATGATTACAGGGTCTTTTTCTCAGGAGAAACACCTCCGTCAGGAGACTTCAGCAAAGTCTCAATCTCGCTCTTGTCTAAGAGCAGTAGTTGAGATATTAAAGATGTTATTTCAAATATTGTTGGTTCTGTGACAAATTGCTTTTGTTCCTCAATTGCAAGTCACTTTGGATAGAAGTGTTTGCTAAATGCACAAATTTAATGTAATTCCTCATGTTGTTCTAAACCTGTGTGACATTATTATATATATATATTTTTTGTAACAGCAGGAGATGTTTAGCTGGTTTTTATTCTTTGTGTTTGTTGTGAATATTTCTGCTTGTGTCGTATCATTGATTTCTCATCATATGAGCACGGAGCATGTTTCTTTATGGGAAGCTCTCTGTTATTTTTGGCATGTGGTTGTCAGTTTAACAGGGCACAAGCGCAGTTGCCCGGCTGCAGCTCTTCAGAGTGCTCTCTGAGCCATATGTGCTGCAGATGGGTCAGTCTCTAGTGCTGCCGCTGGCCGGTCCGAGGGTCCGAGGTCATTCATCAGGGCTCTAAGTGCTGCCAGACCACAGCAGAGAGGAATAATGTGCCATAACCAGATGTCATCAGAACATCAGGATGATTTATGCTGCTTTTTACCTGGATAATCTCCTAGATAGACAGTAAAAATGGATATTAAAAAAACTTTGGATATTAATTAATTTCTCCTGAAGCATGCATCTAATTATGGCATGCTACTTGTAAACTGCTTTTGAAGGAGAAATGTGCATTTTCCCACTTTTTTGACTGAAGGAGGGACCTGAGTTATATTGTAGAGACTCAGTAGTGGACTCGTAATTTGCTGGGCCAGTACGCAACCACCTGGCACACTTTAGCAACCACTTAACAACACCCTTGGAACCACTTTGAACATCCTAGCTACACCCTATCACATTATATCAACCACATAGCAACACCCTGGCATCCAAATAGCAACACCCTAGCAACCACCTTAGCAACTACACAGAAACAGTCCAGCAACCAATTAGCAACACCCCAGCAACCACCTAGCAACATCCCAGCAACCTCATAGCAACACCTTGGTAATCAGTCACATTTTCAGAAAATTTGCAAATGTGGTTATTTCTGTAATTCTGATGCTGTAAAGGTGCAGAATTACACAAAGCTGATTTAACGCTGGTTTGAGCCAAATGTAAATCTAATAGTCGACTACAAAATTGACTACTAAAGTTGAAGAACAGTCTGCTCTGAAAGAGTTTAATCTATGTTTAAAGATCCAAACATCAGCCTCCACACACTCGAGCGCAGAATGAAAACTGACAGTTAGCAACACCCTGGCATCCAAATAGCAACACCCTAGCAACCACCTTAGCAACTACACAGAAACAGTCCAGCAACCAATTAGCAACACCCCAGCAACCACCTAGCAACATCCCAGCAACCTCATAGCAACACCTTGGTAATCAGTCACATTTTCAGAAAATTTGCAAATGTGGTTATTTCTGTAATTCTGATGCTGTAAAGGTGCAGAATTACACAGAGCTGATTTAACGCTGGTTTGAGCCAAATGTAAATCTAATAGTCGACTACAAAATTGACTACTAAAGTTGAAGAACAGTCTGCTCTGAAAGAGTTTAATCTATGTTTAAAGATCCAAACATCAGCCTCCACACACTCGAGCGCAGAATGAAAACTGACAGTCGTTATATCAGGAAAGAGAGTCAACACTTCCTGAGGAGAGCCGGAGTGTGTGTGTGTGTGTGTGTGTGTGTGTGAGTGTGTGTGATTGTGTGCGAGTGAGTGTGTGTGTGATTGTCTGTGTGTGTGTGTGTATGTGTATGTGTATGTGTATGTGTATGTGTATGTGTATGTGTGTGTGTGTGTGTGTGTGTGTGTGTGTGAGGGATTACGGGCCTGAGCAGTCACTGTCTCTCTCTCTGAGCCTCTAATCATTTTTACTGTGAAAGATTTGAGCGCGCTCACTGAGCCACTTACTATTCCACGGCCAGCGTTTGCTTGCATGCACGTCCCTCAGTGTTTCCCTCGAAAATGTTGTAGAAATGCAGGAACAAAAGCTGTTGGAAATTTTACAGTGTATTAATAATGCAAAGCTGAATATGAATGAGTCTGGATAACCTTAGTCTTGTGTTTGCTGGTGCTCAGTATCACATTGATGGATTTGCTTTTTAATTAAACAGCCACTCAAACAGAATAAATTTTGCACTTAGAAAATGTGCATAATTTATTATTTGAATAGATTAAAAAATGTACAGTTCATAAAGAAAAAAAGCCTTTTTCATGATAATTAAACACAAATGCTCATGTTCTCGACTGTTTGTGTGTTAAACTGGCTCATGTTGAAGTGTGACTCAGTGTCGTCTCTCCCTCGTTTCGCAGCGAGCTCATCCTGTCCAACATCGATGCCGGCGTTTCCGGTAATTGGCAGTGTCACGTGACCAGTTCCCGTGGCAACAGCTCAATCGGAATGGAGATTGTGGTGCTGGAGACAACGGTGCTGTACTGTGGAGCCGAGAGGGTCAGTAGCAACAAGGGCGACTTCAGGTGTGTCTGCAGCTACAGATGTCCATCAGCAACATCCCACATAGACACAGACGCCATTCACCAGAGTGCCAGCTTAAAGGGACAGTTCACCCATTTTCTCACCCTCATGTTGTTCCAAACCTGTATGAGTTTTTTTCTTCTGTTGAACACAAAAGAAGATATTTTGAAGAATGTTGGGAACCCAACAGTTGATGGTAGCTGTTGACTTCCATAGTATTTTTTTTTCCCATTCAAGGGAAGTCAATGGCTGCCGTCAACACAAAAGAAGATATTTTGAAGAATGTTGGCAACCAAATAGTTCACTGTATCCATTGATTCTGATAGTATGGGGAAAAAAATTACTTTGGATGTCAATGGCTACCGTCAACACAAAAGAAGATATTTTGAAGAATGTTGGTAACCAAACAGCTGACAATAGCCATTGACTTCCATAGGATTTTTTTCATTCAAGGGAAGTCAATGGCTACCGTCAACACAAAAGAAGACATTTTGAAGAATGTTGGCAACCAAATAGTTGACGGTAGCCATTGACTCTGATAGTATGGGGGAAAAATTTACTTTGGTCAGTTGACAGTAGCCATTGACTTCCATAGTATTTTTTTTTTCCATTCAAGGGAAGTCAATGGCTACCGTCGACACAAAAGAAGATATTTTGAAGAATGTTGGCAACCAAATAGTTGACGGTAGCCATTGACTTCCATTGGATTTTTTTAATTCAAGGGAAGTCAATGGCTACCGTCAACACAAAAGAAGACATTTTGAAGAATGTTTCCAACCAAATAGTTGACGGTAGCCATTGACTCTGATAGTATGGGGAAAAATTTTACTTTGGTCAGTTGACAATAGCCATTGACTTCCATAGTATATTTTTTTCCATTCAAGGGAAGTCAATGGCTACCGTCGACACAAAAGAAGATATTTTGAAAAATGTTAGCAACCAAACAGTTGACGGTAGCCATTGACTTCCTTAGTATGGGAAAAAATACTATTGAAGTCAATGGCTACCATCGACTGTTTGGTTGCCAACATTCTTCAGAATATCCTCTTTTGTGTTCAACAGAAGAAAGAAACTCATACAGGTTTGGAACAACGTGAGGGTGAGTAAACGATGAGAGAATTTCCATTTTTGAGTGAACTGTCTCTTTAAAAACCACATCACAGATTGTGTAATTGTGATGCTTCAGTGCGTCTGTTGTATTTTAACGTCAGATCTCTGATTGCTGCTTTTATAGCTCCATGTTCATTCTGTGTTTATGCAGCACACGACTGTAATGGGCTGGAAAATGAGCCTGTTGTTAGCAGAGGAATTAGTGTCATCTGTGCATTATTGACAACAACAAACAGACTCTGTTCATGTTCACAAACCTCATGTGAGAAACTCGCCTAAAGACACTGCCATTTAAAAGCTTGGGGTCAGAAATTATTATTATTATTTTTTCATCAAGGATGCATTAAATTGATCAAAAGTGCCAGTGAAGACAATTATAATGTTACAAAAGGTTTCTATTTCAAATAAATGCTGTTCTTTTGAATTTTCTATTCATCTGTGAATCCTGAAAAATGAAGTTTCCACAAAGATATTCAGCAGCACAACTGTTTTCAACATTGATAATAATCAGAAATGTTTCTTGAGCAGCAAATCAGCATATTAGAATGATTTCTGAAGATCATGTGACACTGAAGACTGCAGTAATGATGCTGAAAATACAGCTGCGCATCACAGAAATAAATTACA